AATAATAATAAAAGATTTAATTGGTAAATATTTTACGAGGGGAAAATTTTTTTGTTTTTTTGTTTTTCCGAATGAAATTATCGTGATCAAATATTTTTTATATAAAAAAAAAAAAATAGTCGGCTTATCCAACAATAAATAAAAAGTTGTGTTTCAAGTTTTAATGTTATTCATAGCATTAACTGAGAAAGTTAAAAAAAAAAGCAAAATGTCTGAACAAAAAAAAAAAAAAAACGAAAAAAAAGCGAAAGCGCACACGACGGCCCTCGCTCGCTTTTTCTTATAGTTTTTTTTTTTTTTTCTTTTTAACATTTTATTTCCCGTTCCAGAATTCTTGTTTTTCCTTCCTTCTTCCTTCCCTTTCCCCTTCATTTCTTTCTTTCATTCTCCTCCCACAGGATGAAAAAAAAAAAAAAAATTCGAACTCTTGGCATTTTTTTTTCGCGCTTTCAGCTTTTGAATTTTCTTTTGTTTTTTTTCAAAACCTTTAACGTAGATTTTGTAAACGATCGCAAAAAAAAAAATGATTATAATGAAATTTGATGTTTTATGACACATATACGCACACACACACACGCACACGCACAAAATCATTTTATTTTATATCGTTTAAATTTTTTTTCTCTATGAAAATTCCAGTAAAACATGTTCGTATATTATAAATTATGCATGAAAAGGTAAAAAAAAAAATGATAAAGAAAATTTTCAAAAAAAAAAAAAAATATATATATGAAACTACGTGATAAAAATATTATAAAAAATTATTATTCGAATCATTCAATTTAAAAATTATCGAGTAAAAAAAAAAAATTTTTTTTCGTCTCGTCTTCCTTTCTCTCCCCTCCTCTCCATTCTCCTTCTCTTTCCCTCCCTTCTTCCTCCCTTTAAAACATTCGTCAAATTTTTTTTATTTAAAACAACAACAAAAAAAATTTTTTTTATTTAAATATTTTAAAAAATAATATTCGTTTTACTTATTTTAAAAATTAAATTTCCTACGTTTAAAATTATTATCATTATTATTAATTACCCATCACGTGATTTTAATTCACCGACTATTTCCGGTTGTGTGAAAATCGTCGAGAAAAATAAAATTTTTTTTTATTTTTTTATTTTCATGAATTTTTTTTTTTTTTTAAATTGTTTTTCGTCGATGAATACAAAGAAAAGAAGGGGGAGGATGAAGGGGAAGGAGGGGAGGGGTAGGATAGGAAAGAAGAAGAAGAAGAAAAAAATAAATAAAAATGGATTCACACTTCACTAAACCCAAAAAAAATTTTTTTTTTTTTTTTTCTAACATCGTTTTCACTCGAAACAAATATTCCTTTTTTTTCTTTTTAAAACGAGCATAAAAGTGAGAAAATAAGTGAAGATAGAGAGATAATAAAAAGAGAGAGAGAGAGAGAGAGAGAGAGAGAAAGAAAAGCCGATTCTCAAAGGAAAAAAAAGAACAAAGGAAAAAAAGGGATAAACAGGCGGGAACCAGTCAGCAAACCAGTCAGGCATCTAGTAAGCTAGTCAGCTTACTAGCTTGCTGACTAGATATCTTGACTTTTTTTTCTTTTCTTTCTTTCTTTTTTTTTTTTTTTTCAATTTCACGGAAGACTTCCGCTATAAAACGTCTTAAGAATCAAGTTGAAGAAAGTTTTATTATGTCGATTATCCCCTTGTATTTCATTTGCGCGAGAGTAATCAAAGATCTTTTCTTTATCCCTTTTTTCCCTTCTTTCATTTTTTTCCTTTTCTCTTCTACTTCTTCTTCTTCTCTCATCTCATTTCATTCTATCATCTTTAAGTTTTTTTTTTTTTTTTGATTTTTAATCCCTCGTAATCATCGCCACCGCCATAATTTTTTTTTTTTGTCATCGCCTCGTTAACTTTTTTTTTTTTTATTTCCCACCCGCAAACCATTTAATTATTGAAATCGTCTGTACAATATTTTTATTGCTAGACTTTTACTCTTTCTTTTGCTCTCCCTCCCTCCTCCTCTTTCTCTCTCTCTTACATCATTTAATTGAAAAAAAAAAAACAAAAACAAATCGTAAAAGTCGATTTTTTTTTGTTTTTTTTTCTCGTTTGTTTATAATTACATTTTTATTTTTGTTGTTTTTATGTTTGTTTATAATTTTTTAATGAATAATAATAATAATGATGATAATAATAATAATTTACGATAAGTTTTTGGCAATTAATTAATAAAATTTTTCTTTTTTCTATTTTCTTTTTTTACGCTCACAATAATAAAAAAAAGTTTACGTAGGAATTTCGTGAGTAAAAATTCTTGGAATGAATGAATG